CACAGACTCGTCGTCCACATCATGTAAAAACGGCAGTGCGTCACGAGGCAAAGCGTACTCAGCCATGTTGGGGAGTCCGGACACCACACAGCAGCTCAGGGCGCTGCGGAATACCTCCATGTCACAGGCTTTGCACCACTCATCCGTTATTGAGTTGTAGTATTCAACGTCATAGGAGGTGTTGAAGCCGTTGAAGCCACCAACAACAAAGATACGACCTTCGAGCACTTCGATGCCAAAGTTGCTTCGGGGAGACAACATGGAGGACAGTTCGTGCCAGGTGTTTTCTCCGGGAGTCGTAAGCCTCAGCACTGCGCAGACGGGTGGTGCCGTCAAAGCCACCAACCTTTGGGGGGAAAAGCAGAGAAATCATGGTTAGATTTGTTTAAATGGAGATCGGAGCCAACACACTTGAGAGAGTAAAAAACACCGGCCCTCAAAGGTTTTTCTGAGTCTAAAAAAAAGAATGCTGACCAAAACTTATATTATTATTTGAGCATCATCAGTGTTCAATGTACTTACTGCAAAGATATGGTCTGCATGTGCAATGATCCCAACGCCAGTGCGGCGGCAGTTCATGAGTGCGATCGCTGTCCACTGGTTGGTCTCTGGGCAGTAAGATTCAGCTGTTTGCAGGCACTCGTTTCCATTGAAACCTCCACAAATGTAAACCTGGTGAGAACAGGAGATGTTTCAGTAAAATGTGGACTTTTCTTGGCTGCAACTGTTATTCATTTGTTTGTGTGTATGTTGAATGAAACGCTTTTTTTGGGCAAAGAAAAAAAGATTTTGTAAATGAATTGGAACCTTGTTAAAAGGTTTAACAACAATATTGTAGGTGTTAGCTCAAAAAAATCTAATTTCATTCAGCGTTTAACAGTGAATATAAGCATGCCAATATGTATTTAAGTTGTTATTTTAGAGCGATGGACAAGCTTTACACAGTATGCTTTCAAACTTTAAATAAATCCATCAATGTGAGAAATGACAACTAGGTCCATAAACATAATAACTTGTTTATGCATAAATGTTCAACCTGTTGATCTTCCTGCTTACAACAACCTCACACAATTAACGTCAGTATTTAATACTTCTTCCAGTTGCTTAAGACCTCTACTCTGCCACCATCCTCTAGCCAATTATTTCGCTTACCTCAATATAACTGCAAAAGGTCAAGCAGTAGGCTACTTGTGGACCTTTGCTAATATCTTAGAGTTTGGTTTTCTTTACAATAATCATTACACTCTTGTTTCAAACAGGCAATATGACTTTCTGTTACTCTGTTAAGGTAATCCCAGCTGCTCTTTGACTTCACCAACCTTGTCATGGAGTGTTGTGCAGCTCGCGTCGCTCCTTTGCTCGCTCATGGGTGCAATCAGACTCCACTGGTTGGTCTCGGGCATGTAACGCTCCGCTGTGCTGAGTCGTGTATGTCCGTCATAACCTCCCATGGCATAGATGCATCCGTTCAGCACGGTGACGCTCACATAGCAGCGGCGGTAGTACATCGATGTCACCTCATGCCAGGTGTGTGTGTTCGGGTCATACCTGCGAACACTGTTGAAATACTCCACCCTGTCAAAGCCACCAACACAGTAGATATCCCCGTTGAGGAAGGCAGTGCCGTGAGAGGCTCGGGGACGCTCGTGACCGTTTGACACGTTCACCCATCTGTCTGTGCGGATGTCGTACGCCTCGATGCCGTTAGTTGGTTCCCCACCACTCCAGCCTCCGATGGCCAGCAGGACAGCGTTAGGCAGGCGATGACGGACGAGATGGTTGCAGAGGACATAACTATAGTTTGGTCTGATGCAAGTGATGATATCAAGGGCTTTTCTAACCATGAGCATGCACTCAATGTTGTTTTTCACCAGCTCATTAGACCTCACATTGCTCTTTAAATAGTCCTCACTCATCAAGGTCAGCCGGACCTGCTCAGGGAAAACAGGACAGAATATTTTATTTGAACTTAATAGACCTGGCCTCTGTTTCCCTGTTGCTGAAGATGTTAATTTAAACAACATGTAGTGAAAGAAATGTATCATACCTTGGAAAGGAGTGTAGCGAAGTGCCCTTTACGCTCTTCCGGTGAATAGGCAATCCAGAGAATGATCGCCTCAAACACAGTGCTCTCTTCTTTCACGTTGAGTTCGTCTCTACCAATGATCTCAATGATATTTTCCACAGAAAGCTGCTGGAACTCTTGGGAGAAAACAACCTCCTCAAAGTGAGCAAGGACATAGCTGAAGGCCTTGTGTTGCAGTCGGGAGCAGTTGATGGTTTTGGTAAACCGATGGATGCCAATGCAGTTCTTTACGGAGAGCTGCTCCTCCATGAAGTCGCAACAATTTTGCACGATGCCTGGGACATCGAGCTGATCCGCTGCAAGCAGGAGCTCCTCCACATTGTCCCCAGTCACATGAACACTGCCAGTGTATGCAAACTCAATGATAAGCGCCATCATGTCCGCAGACAGGCCACCTATATTGAAGACCTGCTGACCTGGAGCTGACCAGCGTCTGAAGAAAGCTCTGAAGGATGGAGGGGGGGATTCAAAATAGGATTCAAAATAAACAGTTTTTGTTAATAGAAATCGTTAAAACGTATTTTTTGGATTGGTTACTCAGAATCGGTATTGGTCAATCAGATATCTCTCCTATGTCGAATTTGTCTAATCAGAAATGCTCCATGAATCCAAGAGTTACTAATTGCATGTGATTACTGTGCCCCTTACACGTGGATCATAAACTGTTGTCAATTTGCTTTCATTTTTTTACTTACAGGAAGTACTTGCTGCATTTACACAGGATGACTTTGTGAATTTGAAATTCGACATCCTTGACTCTGATGACTGCATCGCAAAACTCTCCCTCTTGGCGGAGATCATTAAACACTGAGCTTGACATAGCCCCGCTTCTGTCAGTCACTTTGAATTTGTTATTTAAAAGAGGTTCTTCTCAGTCTGTTGGTTGTTGACTTGTTGGTCTCTTGAGATTGAATGAGTGAGTTCAGTCAGGAACGGGAATGAGAACACTCCCTCTGTGTTGGGGTTCTCAATCTCTAGAACCAGGATTCCATTCCAGAACTCAATACTTCCATTCCATCATTTGAACTCATGAAAAGCAATGAATTTAAGCGGTAGACCATTAGATGTACATAAAAGCATGAACATAAGCATTATTTGTTGTTATAAGCTTGTTTTTGTGTGTTTTACAGTTTTCAACAAAGTGCTGAATAAAATTGTGTGGATACGTTTCACATTCATCCTAAACAATACTGATTTTGCAAGAGAAATATAAATGAACATAACAATAATCACCATATTTATTTTGAATTAACCAAATAACCATGGCAATGCTCATTCTGTACAGATTATAGAGGTCAAAATGTGTGAAATGGCCTTTTATAATGGGTGGTGTAAATCACCACCCAGTTTGTCTTACATAGGTCCACCAGTTAAATAAGCAACCCAGCGATTTGACTACTTACTACAACAGATCTGACTCATACTCTACATTGAAATCCATGATAATGTTTTGCTAAAACTAATATGTTTATATCGAGATTTTAGCTTGCAGTGCTAGGAAGGAAGGAAGGCTTTATGCACAGATTGACAAACGCACATGGATCTAATCTAAAATCTGCTCTCATTCCCTGGTACTAAAGCGCTGCTTCCTCAAGGGCAAATACAGCAGGTAGCCTGAGATTTAATTAGCTAGTTAGCCTCTGGTTGAGTGAGCAGCTTCTGATTAAACAGTATCAGAGGAGGTGATCATAAAGACAAAGAGGCAATGGATACGAATGACTGTAATCAAACACATCTTAGCAAACTACTTCTTTATGCTTGTTTTCAAATCAGTGGCCGGCTAATCTGTCTTGAAGGCAAAACAACTCAGGTGGACTATGCTGGACATTGGAACGGTCCTGCTGCGCCACTTGATGAAGTAGCATCCTTGAAATATTGGCTTGGAAGCCAATATCCTCGCGATTGAGAAACGGCCAGTGTATTCGCCTGTAATATTGAGTTACATCCGCAGGGAGATTTGGTTCAGTTGGATCAAATAATGTAACGCAGTAACGCACCCATTTAAATCACAGTAACTATAACGGCGTTACTGAATGGGAATAGGTAACTAGTAACGTTATTAGTTACAGCAAAAGGTAGTTGCGTTACAGTAACGCGTTAGTTTGTAACACGTTAGTCCCAACACTGATGAAGAGTACAATGAACCTGTAACCAACAATAAAATAATTTACAACAGGCTTTAGGATTACTTCCAAGATTCCTCGATCCCATTGATTTTATGTGTCTGTATATGAAGGGTGGCCCTACCTACAGTAAGTGGATGTGGGTGTGGCTCTAGCTTCCTGTTTAGTAAGAGTCTATGGAAATTCCACCTGGTGATTTCTGCTGAAACAAAAGCCTGGAGTACTTTTCCATTCAGTCAAGGCTTTCTCTCAAAACGAAACTTAAAAGCATAATTAATAAGAACATCTATCATAAGCCTTTTTCATTTATCAGCCTGCACAACAGTTTAACTTTATAATGTAAAGTATGAAGAAGACATATACAATGCATTTAAAATGTCAGGTTAGAAAATATTGCATTTGATTTAAATACTTTGGGGCTTTCACCCTCATTCTGACAATCTCAACATGTGTCTCCTGTTGATACGTATAGTGAAGATTTTATAATAAAAACTATATAATACATTTCATCAGATTTAGTAAATGTGTATTACAATGGGAGAGACTTATATCAGGAAATCGACAAAGCAGCATTGGTTCAACTTAGTTCTTCAAACGATTTATAAACTCGCCTGCATTTTCTGCGTAGGCTCAGGGTTCATGGAGTGGATAAATGTATCATGTTAATGTTCTACAGGGCAGCAATTAAGTCTATTATTCGTTATGGCATCACAACATGGTTTGGTAACTGGTCAGTTAAATCTAAATCACAACTCCAGAGCTTGATAAAAAGGGCTGGAAAAATAATTGGCATGCTTCCACCATCCTCTCTTCAGGAGATATTTGAGGAGATGGTGAGAAAGCAAGGCCGTAAAATCACATGCGACCCCAAACACATCCTGTATAGGGAGTTTGAGTTGCTGCTTAAGGTATAGATTACCAAACTATAGATTGAACAGGTACAAGTTTTACTTTGTTCCGCTGTCAATCAAGCTGCTGAACAGTCAGAAACAATTGTGATTATGCTGTTAGGAGTTGTTGGGAGGTGCAATGTTTACAGTGTAGTTTGTGCAATCGAGAAGGTTAAATAGGGGAAGTGCATTATGTGTAAATAGGTATGGACACAATAGGGATATGTGCAATATTGATTTGTGTATGAAGACAGTAGGGAAGGTGCAATATTTGATTTATATATAAATACAATAGGGAAAAGTGCAATATTTGATTATGTATGAATGCAATAGGGAAAAGTGCAATTTGTGCAATAGGGATATGTGCAATAGGGAAAGTGCTGTATGTTTCTTGTTTGTTTCTTTGCCGTGTGATATGTGATCTCTGTTCTGTATCTATGACTGATTGACCTGAATGTTTTATGTGTATTATCTCGATGGCCAAGACACATTTCTCCTAAGGGAGACAATAAAGCTCTATCTTATCTTATCTTATAACTCAATGTGAACAACACTGTCGTTAACCAGACTTAACATCACCATGATCACAACATTGATGTTAAGCAGACTATTTCAACAGAAATGTTCTTCTTCTCTAATTAAATTCACTCACTGATCTATCGACTTCTTGTCTAATACTAATACTATATATGAATAATCAAAGTTGGCAAATGTTCATAGAAATGAGCATGGGTGTAGGAAGCATCCTGAATGTGGGGGGGACATTTTTAACTGGGGGGTGTAGGGATCCCCCACCACGAAAAAAAAATAGATTTCCTGTATTCTGGTGCATTTTAACAGGTGGTTTGATACTTTTATGTGGCTATACTAGCATGAGGAAAATGATGGGTACATTTTGTAATTTCATCCAGTAATAAAGAAAGGAAACATATTTGATTATTAATTCAGAGCGGTCTTTGAATGAATAAAAAGCAGTTTAAATGCCCATTTTTTGTACATTTATATACAACAATACATATTTATGAGTGCATTGAGAGATATTGTTGTGGAGAGTCATTTATATATAAATCGTAAAATACATTTGTGAATCCTTCTGTGAGCATTTATTAATATTGAGACTGATCTGACTCCATAAAGATGTTAAGTTCACCTGGAATGGGATGTAAATTGCCTATAAGCACTCAGTAAAACATAAACACACACAAAAAGCTTCTGAATTATAAGAAGTATAATTAAAACATAATGCACATTACCATTTTGAGAGAGAGTACCCAAGTTAAAGAACTTGGGTACCTCCGCTACCGGCATCGCTTCATACAACAGATCTGAGCTGTCCAACTATGACAACACTCCTTGAACATGCGCGCGCTACGGGAGAATCTGCCTTGGTACAAAGTATCAGTGAAAACATGGTACGGAGTTTCATTGAGTTGGGCATTCTCTCAATAAGCAAGTGGAATGGATTTGATAGTGAAGCACTGACACAGCGCTCTACAAAGTGCGGCGAGTGGATAGACCGATTCACGGACTTTCCACATGGTAAAAGTGGAGGGGGTCTAAACTAATCATTTCAAAAAGTGGGGGGGACGTGTCCCACCCTCATATAATGGCTGTGACGCCCATGGAAATGAGTAGGAACAAACTATCAAACATTGGCCTTTATAGAGTGTAGTAGGAAGATAAACACCTCTCTCTCTCTCTCTCTGGAATAAAGCACTATGGAAACCACTCCCACTTGGTATATTGTTAGTCTCATGCTCGATATTCAGAGGCAGTGAGAGGTGAAATGGCGGTGCAAGGACATCAGCTCGGTCGAGGCTGTGCTGTTTTATCTACAAGGATCTGATGAAGGATCCGGTGACTATTGCCTGTGGACACAGCTACTATTTGAGCTGTACTATTAGACGTTAGGATAGAGAGGAGCAGAAGAAAATATACAGCTGTCCTCATTGCATTAAGACCTTCAAACCAAGGCCTGCCCTGGTAAAAAAAAACTTCATTTTGGCAGATTTAGTGGATGAACTGAAACAGAAGAAGATGACACAACCCCAAGTTGGTCCATCTGATCCCCGTGAGGCTGGACCTGGAGATGTGGGATGTGATGTCTGCACTGGGAGAAAGAGGAAAGCTCAAATGTCATGTCTGCAGTGTCTGGTCTCTTTCTGCGAGCAGCACCTCCAGCCTCACTATGAAGTTCCATACAAGAAACACAAGCTAATTGAAGCTTTGAAACTTCAGGAGAACATCTGCTCTCAACATCATAAGGTAATGGATATCTTCTGCCGCACTGATAAGAAGGTTATCTGTATTCTCTGCCTCAATGATGAACATAAAGAACACAACATAGTTTCAGCTGCAGCAGAAATGAGCAAGAAGAAGAAAAAGCTCGGGGTGAGTCGGCAAAACATCCAGCAGAGAATCCAGAACAAAGAAAAACATGTGAAGCAGTTTCAGCAAGAGGTGGATGCCATCAATCTCTCTGCTTATGAAGCAGTGTGGGACAGCGAGTTGACTTGTACTGAGTTAGTCAATCTCATTGAGCAAAGAAGCTCTGAAGTGACGCAGCAGATTATGTCCCGGCAGGAATATGAAGTGAGTCGGGTCAAAGAGATTCAGGAGACGCTGCAGAAGGATATCAGTGATCTGAAGAGGAAATACACTAAGCTGGAGAAACTCTCACAAACAGATGATCAGATCAAGTTTCTACAGGCCTACCCCTCACTGTCAAATCTCAGGGACCCTGAAAAACCATTCAGAGTCAACAAGGATCCTGTACGATACTTTGAGGATGTGACAGCAGCTGTGTCAGAGGCCAGAGGTAAAGTACTGGAGAGATTTAATAAGGAATGGATGAAGATCTCAGAGACAGTGACTGAAGTGGATGTTAAATTGTTGCCAGACCCAAAGACCAAAGCTGACTTTTCACAATATGCAGCCCCCAAATATCTTCTCAAACTGGATCCAAACACAGCGAGCATGCAGATACAATTATCTGAAGATAACAGGAAGGCAACCTCAGTGACAGAGCCACAGTCATATGATGACCACAAAGAGAGATTCATGGCTAGGTCTCAGGTTCTGTGTGGAGAAGGTCTGACTAATCATTATTACTGGGAAGTGGAGTGGAGTGGTATGGGAGGTTCAGTAGCAGTCGCATACAAAGATGTTCCCAGAAGAGATGGGGAAAGTGTATTCGGGGACAATGACACGTCTTGGACACTAGAGTTTAGTAAAACGATTTGTAATTTCAAACACAACCATATAAAAAAAAAAATTCCTATCCTTCAATCCTCAAGGATTGGTGTTTTCTTGGATCAAAAGGCAGGAGTTCTGTCCTTCCACAGCGTCTCTGAAACCATCACCCTCCTCCACAGAGTGCAGACCACATTCACTCAGCCGCTCTATGCTGGACTCGGTGTTTATTATAATGAAGCTTCTGCTACATTTTGTGACATCAAGGTCGAACAACTGTCAAGTGAGGTCAGTGAAAACTAAATGGACATTATTTTTGTGAGATCTGCTGAGATGTGTGATCTCACATAGAGTTGTTCATATCATTGTGTCTCCCAGAAAACAATGAGCAGAATATCTTTTGTAACCTTTTGTTAGCCTGGTCCTGGTCCTCCACCTTCAGCCCAGCAGCAGCCTGGTCCTCGTCCTTCAGCCCAGCAGCAGCCTGGACCTGGTCCTCATCCAGCAGCCCAGCAGCAGCCTGGACCTGGTCCTCATCCAGCAGCCCAGCAGCAGCCTGATTGTCGTCCTGCCAGCAAGGATCTCCCTCTCCCTGATGATCAACAGCCTTCAACTCCTGAAGATGACTCTCCATCCCTGTCAGGTGAGGTTATATTAATCATTGACATTGATGAGGAGAGTGAGTACAGTTCTGAGAGTGAGAGCGGAAGCCCAAGCTCTGATTCCAGCCCTGTCAGCCTTACAGCTGGTCAGCGAGTCAGCACCCCCCTCCACTCGCTCTCTGAGAGTAACTCTGGGTCATTTTCAACTCCGGAATATCCAGACCCCCCGAGTGAAGCTCAGGGGGAAGCCCCATTTGAGGTCTCAACAAAAAAGAGACATGCAAGCAGAAACTTGAACCAAAATGAAAAACGGGCAAATGTAAATACATCACCATAGTTCATTTTCAAAACCAATATGAGCTTCTTAAATGTAGCTACCTGGAATGCACGTGGTATTCAGTCCAAAGACTTTCGAGATAGGAAAATTAAATATTTACTAGACACTAATTATGACATTCTGTTTACGCTGGAACTTAGGCTGAGTACCACCAGTGATGTTGACAATGTGTGTAAACTGTGGTGTAAAGGTACATGTATGATATCGATTGGAGAGAATAGAGCTGATGGAGTCTGCATTTTCTTCAAAGAAAAATATATAACTATTATTAGAAGAAGGGACATAATCCCAGGAAGGCTGCTCATGGTGGATTGTTTTTATTTGCCCCTGAGGCACAAAATAAGCTCAAATTATTCAGAAGACTAAGAGAACTTTTAATAGTAGGTTATAAAATTATATTAGGTGGGGATTTTAACACAGTAACAGAAGAAATACATAAGTGTAGTACAGCTGTTTTTAAACTGAGGCCGGAAGTAAAGCTGTTAAAAGAAATCTGCGACGATGCAAACCTAATCGATGTCTGTCGATCACTGTCACAAACGAGCTGAGTACCAAAATGCAACACACGGGAAACCAGGGATCAATCAATCAATGTTTATTTATATAGCCCAATATCACAAATGTTACATTTGTCTCAGTGGACTTCACAGTTTGTACAGAATATCAGTATGACCATACGACACCCTCTGTCCTTAGACCCTCACATCGTACAAGGAAAAACTTCCGGAGAAAACCCACAGTTTAAAGGGAAAAATGGGAGAAACCTCAGGGAGAGCAACAGAGGAGGGATTCCTCTCCCAGGACGGACAGACGTGCAATAGATGCCGTGTGCAAATCGAAGAGATAATACATTTTACAGCGTAGGTAGACCAAATGTTTGGAAATGCATGTGTCTGTAATAAGAAGATGAATCCACGAGAATGTCAGCAATCTTGTGGGAGCCATCAGGGAAGTAGTATGGTGAGAGTCAGGCAGGACCGCAGAGACAGGTTCAGCCACGACTCGAAGTCCAGGACTCAGATCCAGAACTCAGGATAGAGGATCCAGGACACACGGCCACAGCAACAGGATTAGCCTCGACTCAGGATCCCGGCGTATATATGGACACAAAAAAGAGATTTGGGGGAAGCTGGGTTAATCGGAACATGAGAGTACACAGGTACGAACAGACAGAAAGAAGGAGTAAGGTGCCCCCCCAACAGTCCAAGCCTATAGCAGCTAAACTAACGTGTCTACATACATGCACTCCCTTAGGATAGGTTGAGGGAAAAGGGTAGCAAGTAAGAAGTAGGAAACAGAGGTGGAGAGGCACATGCAGGGAGAAAGGTCCCCACTGGAACCTGAATTGGTTAGAGGTAAGGAGTAGGTCTGTGGCTACGTTCCACACTCCCCGGCCGGGCTAGGCCTTCTCTGCAACCTGTTACCCTGTAATAGAACCTCGAGAGGTCAGAGAGGGGAAAGGTTTTGGATAAAGTTTTAAATATAAGATCTAAGTTTTTAGGATGTAAGTGAAAGAGTAAGAACTAAAATGTATAGGTGAAGAGGCACAACGTATCTACGTCAATGCACTCTTATTAGATTATTTGATTTTATCACTATAAGCTTTATCAAAAAGGAAGGTCTTAAGCGTGCTCTTAAAAACGGATAGGATGTCTGCCGCCCGAACACAAACTGGAAGCTGATTCCACAAATGCGGAGCTTGATAGGAAAAGGCCCTGGCTCCCATTGTACTTTTAGAGACTCTAGGAACAACCAACAACCCTGCATTCTTGGAACGCAATGCCCTAGTAGGACAGTAGGGTATAATGAGTTCTTTAAGGTAAGATGGCGCCTGCCCATTAAGGGCTTTGTAGGCGAGAAGATGAATTTTAAATTCTATCCTGTGTTCTAAAGGGAGCCAGTGTAAGGCAGCCAGAACAGGAGTAATGTGATCCCTTTTCCTAACTCTAGTTAGTACACGTGCTGCAGCATTTTAAATCAGCTGAAGCGACTTAACTGACTTCTTGGTAAACCCTGATAATAAAGAGTTACAATAATCCAGCCTTGAAGTAACAAATGCATGGACTAGTTTCTCTGCATCGTTTTGAGGCAAGATATGCCTGATTTTGGCAATGTTGCGTAGATGGAAGTAGGCGGTCCTTGAGATTGATTTTATGGGCGTTAAAGGATAAATCCTGATCAAATATAACACCAAGATTCCTTACAGTCTCACTGGAGGCCAAATTAATGCCATCCATAACTAGTATATCTTTAGATAGTTTGTTTCATAGATTCTTTGGGCCGAGTACAATAACTTTTTAGCCGTGTTTAACATCAAAAAGTTTAAGGTCATCCGCGTTTTTAAGTCCTTGAGGCAGTCTTGAATTTGATTTAGATGATTAATTTCATCAGGCTTGATTGATAAATATAGTTGAGTATCATCCGCATAACGGTGGAAATTTACAGAATGATTCCTTATAATATTGCCTATCGGAAGCATATATAATGTGAACAAAATAGGTCCGAGCACTGAGCCCTGTGGCACTCCATGGCTAACTTTGGTTTGCGTGGAAGATTCATCATTGACACGTACAAACTGAGAGCGTTCAGATAGATAGGACCTAAACCAGTCTAAAGCAGTTCCCTGTATGCCAACTAAGTGCTCTAGTCTTTGCAATAAGATATCATGGTCGATAGTATCAAATGCAGCACTGAGATCGAGCAAAACAAGAATAGAGACAAGTCCCTTGTCAGAGGCTATTAGAATGTCATTTGTGACTTTAACCAGAGCTGTCTGTATGTCCGTCCCTCAATTCCTTTGACCACCGTTCATCAGTGGTCTTCACACATCGGGTCGGTCATACTGTTGTACAAAAGTATACAAACAAAATAGGGTAACAACAAGAAACGAGACTAAAAACAAAGTAATCTAAGATGCAAACATTTGACAAATTACGGAAATTAGCACCAGAGAAACATAAACCAATGGAAACACCTGGTGATACATCATATCGATTATTTTGGCCTTTAGGAGAAAACGGCCACATCTGATCAGTTGTGGCCAAAAGGATTAAGTCAAAGACGTGATGAAGAGACCTTTTTCACAGCATCATTTTCACTTGTCAGTAGAAAAATCTGTGTACCCAATAACGATTATATTCTATAAGCCATCCTAGTTTGACAGTTTGCCAGCATGAAGAGTACAATGACCCTGTAACCAACAATAGCTTTATTTACAACAGGCTTTAGGATTGGTTTCAGGGTTCCTCAATCTCATTGATTTGATGTGTCTGTATAGGAAGTGTGGCCCTACCTACGGTAAGTGGGTGTGGCTCTAGCTTCCTGTTTAGTAACAGTCTATGGAAATTCCACCTGGTCTGGTGATTTCTGCTGAAACAAAAGCCTGCAGTACTTTTCCATTCAGTCAAGGCTTTGTGTTATAACGAAACTTAAAAGCACAATTAATAATAAAGAACAGCAATCATAAGCCTTTTTCATTTTTCAGCGTGCACAACTGTTTAACTTTATAATGCAAAGTATGAAGAAGACATATACAATGCATTTAAAATGTTAGGTTCGAAAATATTGCATTTGATTTAAATACTTAAATGGCTTTCACCATCATTCTGACAATCTCAACATGTGTCTCCTGTTGATATGTGTAGTGAATATTTTATAATAAAAACTATATAATACATTTCATCAGTTTTAGTAAATGTGTATTACAATGGGAGAGACTTATATCAGGAAATCGACTAAGCAGCATTGGTTCAACTTAGTTCTTCAAACGATTTATAAACTCAATGTGAATAACACTGACGTTAACCAGACTTAAAATCACCATGATCACAACATTGATGTTAAGCAGACCATTTCAACAGAAATGTTCTTCTTCTCTAACTAAATTAACTCACTGATCTATCCACTTCTTGTCTAATACTAATAATATGTATTCATAATCAAAGTTGGTAAATGTTCATAGAAATTAGTAAGAACAAAGTATAAAACATTGGCATCTGAAAGCACCTGGGGTGTGGCTCTTTATAGATGGTAGTAGGAAGACAAATACCTCTCTCTGGAATCAAGCACTAACTGGAAACCACTCCCACTTGGTATATTGTTAGTCTCATGCTCGATATTCAGAGGCAGTGAGAGGTGACATGGCGCAGCAAAGACATCAGCGCGGACGGGACGAACTGTGCTGTTTTATCTGCAAGAATCTGATGAAGGATCCGGTGACTATTGCCTGTGGTTACAGCTACTGTAAGAGCTGTATTAGTAGACGTTGGGATAGAGAGAAGGAGCAGAATGAAATATGCAGCTGTCCTCATTGCAGACGGACCTTTGAATCAAGGCCTGTCCTGGTGATAAGCACATTGTTGGCAAATTTAGTGGAGGAAGAGAAGAAGAAGACAGAACCCAAGGCTGGTCCATCTGATCCCTTTGATGCTGGACCTGGAGAAGTGGGATGTAGTCCTACAGGGAGAAAGAGGAAGACGTCCTCTCTGCAGCCTCACTATGAAGATCCATTAAAGAAAACCAAGCTCATTGAAGCTTCGAAACGTCATGAAATGAGTGAGAAGCAGAAAGAGCAAAAAATCCAGCAGAAAATCCAGATCAGAGAGAAAGATTTGAAGGAGCTTCAGCCGGAGGTGAAGTACATCAATCGCTCTGCTGAAAAAGCAGTGAGGGAAAGCGAGACGATGTGTACTGAATTAGTCAAACTCATTGAGAAAATAAGCTCTGATGTGAAGCAGAAGATTATGTCCCGGCAAAAATATGAAGTGAGTCGGGTCAAAAAGATTCAGGACACGCTGCAGAATGACATAAAAGATCTGAAGAAGAAATACACTAAGCTGGAGAAAGTCTCCAAAGTCAACAAGGATCCCGTACGATACTTTGATGATGTGACAGCAGCTGTGTCAGTGGCCAGAGGTAAAGTACTGGAGAAGATTAATAAGGAATGGATGAAGATCTCAAAGACAGTGACTGAAGTGGATGTTAGATTGTTGCCTGATCCCCAGACCAAAGCTGACTTTTCACAATATGCAGGCCCTAAAAATATTTTCGAACTGGATCCAAACACAGCGAGCATGAAGATACAATTATCTGAAGATAACATGAAGGCAACCAATCATATGACAGAGCCACAGTCATATGATGACCACGCAGACAGATTCATGGCTAGGTCTCAGGTTCTGTGTAGAAAAGCTCTGACTAATCGTTGTTACTGGGAAGTGGAGTGGAGTGGTTTAGGAGTTTCAGTAGCAGTCACATACAAAGATGTTCCCAGAACAGGAAAGGAAAGTGCATTTGGGGACAATGACAAGTCTTGGGCACTAGAGTTTAGTAAAACGATTTGTCATTTCAAACACAACCGTGAAAAAAAGGCCATTTCTGTCCCTGAATCCTCAAGGATTGGTGTTTTATTGGATCCAAAGGCAGGAGTTCTGTCCTTCCACAGCGTCTCTGAAACCATCACCCTCCTCCACAGAGTGGAGACCAAATTCACTCAGCCGCTCTATGCTGGACTCGGTGTTTATTATAATGGAGCTTCTGCTACATTTTGTGACACCAAGGTCGAACAACTGTCAAGTGAGGTCAGTGAAAACTAAATGGACATTATTTTTGTGAGATCTGCTGAGATGTGTGATCTCACAAAGAGTTGTTCATATCATTGTCTCCCAGAAAACAATGAGCAGAATATCTTTTGTAACCTTTTGTTAGATTTCTTTTTTGTGTGCCTTTTTTTCAATATTTATTTTGGGTAGGGACATAGGGGCTCAGATAAATAAAACATATATACAGTCTTTAACATAAGTTAACGTAAGTTATGTAAGTAATGTAAGGGGAGTTTTGAGTAGATGATTGCAGTGTGTTAGCAATTGGCTAACCTAGCTGCTAGCTGAAGGTGTCTCAGTCTGTAGGGACTGAACAAAGGAGCTGGAGGGTCACCGGTTCAACTCCCAGAATGGACCAAGTACTGAGAGAGTACTATAAAAAGTTGTTATTTTACCACCGCCTTCCCCTAGCCTGCATAATATTAAGATGGTTGAAATGGTTGTGCTGCATCTCGAGTAAATCATTAGAATTCTTTAACTCAGTCGATAATCCAAAAATATTTAAAAGTGAAATGCGTGCCTGTTAGTCACGTGAGGGACAACCTCTGACATACAGGATCTTGTTTTTTCTATATTAACATGTATTTGTATTTTCTCATTTGTTAGTCAAATATTCTTGGTGCACGTTGTTTTTCACAACAGGTTTCACAAGTTGTGCTTTTGAAAAGGGAAAATCAGACGTCTGAAAACAGGTGTGGACATGTCCCCAGTGTAAAAAACATCTATATGGGTGTATGTAATGTTTTGTTAGATATTAATATTGTTGTTGTCATATTATCTCATGTTGACGATGCACTACAAGTCTTCTCTTTGTAATCATTTCATATTTGATCATGTGTGTTGTATTGCTGTCAATCTGTAATGCAGAAAAAATGTATGTTACTAATCATTAATTAGAACATTGACTTGATTGTGTTTTGAAATGTAGAAATGTAATGTAAAAGGGAAGATTGAACATGTGCTTTAAAACGATTTGCTGATTAGATTCTGTCGATTCAATTGTTTTTTAAATAAATAATAAAGTTTTTTATGATTTATTTGATGTCTCTGTTTCTTTCTTCTTAATAGGCTACATGGTTAGTCGTCCAAAAAATTGAAAATGTCGGCCAACAGCATGAGTTTAAAGAAAAGATTACATTTATACAGAGATGGCAAAGATGATGCACGGATCGTGTTAAAATCAATAGGCACGCAATGACTCTAAATAATAATGATCACGCACCAAACACACATTCAGACTAAAGGAACCAGCTGTTTGGAAAATTAAAGAAGTAGAAAGTACAGGTATTTGAGTTCAACATGTAAGAAGTAGAAAGTACAGGTAATTGAGTTCAACATGTAAGAAGTAGAAAGTACAGGTATTTGTGTTCAACATGTAAGAAGTAGAAAGTACAGGTATTTGTGTTCAACATGTGAGAAGTAGAAAGTACAGGTATTTGAGTTCAACATGTGAGAAGTAGAAAGTACAGGTATTTGTGTTCAACATGTAAGAAGTAGAAAGTACAGGTATTTGTGTTCAACATGTAAAGAAGTAGAAAGTACAGGTATTTGAGTTCAACATGTAAGAAGTAGAAAGTACAGGTATTTGTGTTCAACATGTAAGAAGTAGAAAGTACAGGTATTTGAGTTCAACATGTAAGAAGTAGAAAGTATAGGTAATTGAGTTCAACATGTAAGAAGTAGAAAGTACAGGTATTTGTGTTCAACATGTAAGAAGTAGAAAGTACAGGTATTTGAGTTCAACATGTAAGAAGTAGAAAGTACAGGTATTTGTGTTCAACATGGTAAGAAGTAGAAAGTACAGGTATTTGAGTTCAACATGTAAGAAGTAGAAAGTACAGGTATTTGTGTTCAACATGTAAGAAGTAGAAAGTACAGGTATTTGAGTTCAACATGTAATGAAGTAGAAAGTACAGGTATTGTGTTCAACATGTAAGAAGTAGAAAGTACAGGTATTTGAGTTCAACATGTAAGAAGTAGAAAGTACAGGTATTTGAGTTCAACATGTAAGAAGTAGAAAGTACAGGTATTTGTGTTCAACATGTAAGAAGTAGAAAGTACAGGTATTTGAGTTCAACATGTAAGAAGAAGTAGAAAGTAACAGGTATTTGTGTTCAACATGTAAGAAGTAGAAAGTACAGGTATTTGTGTTCAACATGTAAGAAGTAGAAAGTACAGGTATTTGAGTTCAACATGTAAGAAGTAGAAAGTACAGGTATTTGTGTTCAACATGTAAGAAGTAGAAAGTTCAGGTATTTGTGTTCAACATGTAAGAAGTAGAAAGTACAGGTATTTGTGTTCAACATGTAAGAAGTAGAAAGTACAGGTATTTGGGTTCACATGTAAGAAGTAGAAAGTACAGGTATTTGTGTTCAACATGTGAGAAGTAGAAAGTACAGGTATTTGTGTTCAACATGCAAGAAAGTAGAAAGTACAGGTATTTGGGTTCAACATGTAAGAAGTAGAAAGTACAGGTATTTGAGTTCAACATGTAAGAAGTAGAAAGTACAGGTATTTGAGTTCAACATGTAAGAAGTAGAAAGTACAGGTATTGTGTTCAACATGTAAGAAGTAGAAAGTACAGGTATTTGGGTTCAACATGTAAGAAGTAGAAAGTACAGGTATTTGAGTTCAACATGTAAGAAGTAGAAAGTACAGGTATTTGTGTTCAACATGTAAGAAGTAGAAAGTACAGGTATTTGAGTTCAACATGTAAGAAGTAGAAAGTACAGGTATTTGTGTTCAACATGTAAGAAGTAAAAGTAAAAAGTCGTCAGAAAAATAAGTAGTGGAGTAAAGTACTGATACCATAAAAATGTACTTAAGTACAGTAACGAAGTATTTGAACTCCACTACTTTCCACCTCTGCATTTATAACACATATAAACCTATTTGAGTTTCAAATGCTGGTAAACAGACACTACACAAACACTAAAGGTCAATAATAAAGAACAAGACAAAAAACTGAGGTGCAAAAATAGACATGAGTTAAATCAGCAGACACCACCGTCACCAAGGGGAAAGTAAGCCAATGGGGACATCTGGTGGTGCAACACACACACTCACAGCAAACACTGTACACTGTTTTTAACCACACAACTAAGACACTAAACTGGGGAGGAAATGGACGCGGCAACACCACGCATATGTTCATATTTATATGGCAATTATACGGTTTTGTTTTTAATCCAAACTAATATTCCCCATAGGGAGAAAAAGACAGTTGCTGATCAGTGTTGGACAAAATAAGCAACTTGAGGATGAAAGGAAAACTGAAAAGGCCCTATTTGTTTCCCTTTCTTGTAGTGTGGTATACAAAAAATATGTGCTTGTAAATGGTCTGGAAAGGCTCAAATCCCTGTGTTCCATCCATAAGGAGTTTCTCTCCCACACACACTAATGTGTGAGGGGCCGTACACGCACATACATTCTCCTTATACATACTGCAAAGTCATTTTACAGACATGGAATGTTGTAAAAGGTTGTTCACCAGAAATGATATCTACCTTCAAGGATCACAACCTGGGTGGACAACCCGGTCAACTAGCTACTGGAAAGCTACAGTGAGGGTCCAAACAATGCAACCCATATATGAAGTCAACAATTCTGGCTGGATCAGATGCCATCATTCTCTTTCTGATTGAATATCTCTGTGACAGTGCATGGTAAAGACACACTGAGCCAACTTATTGAAAGAGCAGAAAATAAGCTTTCAGGTGATGCCTTGGTTAAGCCTGTTCTCAATAAGGCCACTAGATGGCGCTGTGTCTTTTTTGTCTCTCCAAAGCAAAATCCATTTCAAGCAATGCACTTGTGGTCCTCTGGATTGTTTGCTGTGTTCAAAATGGGTAATAATTATAATAATAATACATTTGATTTATATAACGCTTTTCCTGGTGCTCAAAGCGCTTAACAAGCAAGTAAAGAAGAAAAATAACAACACAAGTAAAAAGTGCTAAGCTAGGTGGAATAAGGGTGAGGGGTTAGTGCAGTGGCGGTTCTAGAACATTTTACATGGGGGGGCAAAGGGGGGGCAAGAGGTCATGCCAGGGTGGCATGGGAGGGCGGACAGTACGTGGTATTTTATACTGTATATAACCTATTTATTGTTAATTCATGCCCTAACACAAGTGTTCTTAATGCACAAGAGAAACAAGGTGTTCAGACAAACAATCGGGTGCCCTTTGAGTCCCCCAAGCTTACCTCAACCATTTTAAATGAAAGGAAACTACAAAATGTATTTTAAAGCAATGAATTAATGGAACAGGTTTTTTTGCATTACAATGTTAAACTAAATATATATTTAGTTTAAAAAAAATTGTTTTTCTTAGTATTAGACAGACATATTTGTATGTCCTCACTAAGCATTATTACATATTAATTTAATATCAAACCAATCAAAATGGCCAATTATCCCAAAATGTTGCTGCTAATATAATCATATGCTTGTCAACTTTAACTGATCAAAAATAAATTCTGAAAAAATACTTGAATTAACTATGAAATTGCAATATTGTCCCTCAGTTTGTTTCAACCCCGTCACGCCATACCATTTACCCTCCTATTAAAATAATGGATCAGTCCATGTGTGATCTGCATTGAGGGAATTACATCATAAAAGTGTCCGTTTCTTCTCTTACCTATATTTCAGTTTTTGTATTTTCAGATTAAGATTGACAAACTCAACATTTCAATTTATGATTAAGTACACAAATGACATCACCCATCTCTTCAGAGAGCTACAGGTGACCTGTGCAGCAACACATTTCAGTCAATACTAAGAGCTGCTAGATTGAGCTGCTGTGATGGAATATGTAAGGAGAATAAGAACATACCATGTGGTCCAGCTGGAGTTTAATCTGCCTCCTGATCCCTGCCTCTGTCCCTCTTTCTGACACTTCATCTTTATTCCTCACATACATTTCTTCTTCTTCACTAATGTCTTCATCTCCTCCTCTTCCTCCTGCTCTGACCCTCCTGGTCTCTTCATCTCCTCCTCTTCCTCCTGCTCTGACCCTCCTGGTCTCTTCAGTGAACTATCTTTTCCTTTTCCTCTTTCTGTTCGTCCTGATCACTTCTCATATGTCTTTGTGTTGTTGTTGAATCACTCCTATACTCTAGCCTGCAAGAGTCTACTTGTGAAAAGCACTGGTACAAATGCTTGCATAACTTTACGCGTTAGGGCCATGTAGCCTAGCTAATATGTAGCATATCATATTTCATTTCATTTCAAACCTTTATTTAGACAGATAGGTCCCTTGAGATCACGGATCTCTTTTACAAGGGAGACCTGCATCAATTTAGTTCCACATGAAACATAAAAACAACATAAAAACAAACAATAGAGGACATCATATTTACCAACACTTACAAACACCCATAGTGTCAGAAAGCATCTCGTTCAGACGTGCCTTAAAAACATTCAGAGAAATAAAATTGCTCAAATTCAATTTGGACTGTAGGCTGTTCCAAGCAAGTGGAGCTGCGCACATACAAGCTGTCTTACCTAAAACAGTCCTTACCCTTGGTACATCTAACAAGACTACATCCTGCGATCTCAGACAATAGCTGCCTGCAACTTTCTGCTTTACCAGAGAGCAGATGTAATACGGGAGTTTGCCCAACATAGCTTTATAAATAAAAGTGTACCAGTGACTGAGCCTCCGTACAGAGAGTGATGGTAAACCTGCCTTGGTATACAGTGTACAGTGATGTGTAAGCATATAACATCAGAAAGTATTGATCAAGCTCACACAGGCAGCTGTGTTTGGATCCAGTTTTTACAGTAAAGGATGTATCCTGGTTTCATTGATCTGGCCTCATTGCTGTGATGTGTAGTTTACGTGGATTTAATAGTAGGCTACCGCGTAGTTTAGCAAAGTGATCGATCTCCCAGCTAACGCTGTCTGCGTAGTATTTTGTAACGTAACGCCCCAAACAGCGCCCGTCTGTTAAACGCTATCGATTCAAACGGCAGCGTTTTATTAATATTTAGTTTCAAGCTCTCGTCCTTAGTAAAAACAAAACTAGTGGAAAGGGAAATGACAGCTCGTTCCCTCTCTGCAGCGGTGTGAGCCGCGGTCTGTGTGAACGCCGCTCCGCAGTTTAATGCAGGGCCGTAGCTGCGTTTTTAACGGGCCTAAAATTATATTTTAAATGATTAACTTTTACCTAATGTAATGCTTGTTTTGTTGCTTGAGAAGCTTGTGGAAATAGTGTAGGTTTGTCTTAGTACAGTTTTAGGGAAACAAAAGTTAGGGGGGCAGCTGGGGGGGCAAGGCTCTACAGTGGGGGGCAGCTGCCCCCCCGTATATCCGCCCCTGGGTTAGTGGATTAGGAGTTGAAGGCAAGAGTGAAAAGGTGAGTTTTGAGGGATTGTTTGAGTGATGTGAGAGTGTTGGCAGATTAGAGTAAATATACTTAAAAGATTATTTCTATATAAAATATTGAAGGGTTTACATTAATATACAGAAGGTTTACTGCTGATGCTAATTTGAATTATTAATTATTAATTAATACTGCAAGGAGACGTATTGTGTGAAAAGAAATGTAAGATGTTGTTTAATTGCTTATATATTTATGATCCACGTCACGTATTCAGTTTTGGCGGCAGTTCTCCTGTTTGTCTAGAAGTCTTCTCAGCAGGGCTCTATAAATAGAGAATTACGGCAGATATGTAATATTTAATGCAGCCGAACCGTGTATTACAATGCGATATGTGATGACTTTCAAAGAGAAAAGCAAGCACACTCGGAATAAAGTATTATTTTATTTTTAAAAAACCTTTTCAGATTTCACATCACATAAAAACCAAATCCCAGCATGCATTGCGGCTAAACCATCCAATCATCGAGCTGAGGATCTTGCCTATGTCTGTTTCCGGTTACACACATCGATTTAATACATTAATGTAGCCTTTGTTCCTGCTAAAAGAGGTATCGACCAGCTGGGGCAACAAGAAAATCGGCGTAATCGAGTGTGACTATTACAAAATAAATCATTACGTCGGGGTAGCATTTGCTTGGCATTTCCGGTTATTTCTCCACTGGTTAACATGGGTTAACAATACCGTGTAACTGTCACGTTTGAAGGGACGAAATCGTGACATCTTCACGTCTCCCAGCATGGTAAATCATCACATGTTCACGTCTTGCCGTGATACCGGGTTGGTCTGGTCCGTGTCCTTTAAACACTCCAGAGATCCTCCACACGAAAGGCAAAACCGTGTCACTTGTCCCAGGTTGTTTCCACAAAACGGACAAAACATGTTTACCGAACATAAACACACTCGTACCTTCGGTCTTTCCGCCAAAACAAACTTAAATTTGAGCCAATCACTAAAACGTCACTTCCGGTATGATGGACATTCCCTTTCCGCTTTGATTCTGGTTTGTAAATGTGTTTCGGAAAATGTTAAAGTGTTTCGGTTATGGTAAAAGTGTTTCGCATTTTGTTAATTTGTTTTTGTTAATGTTAAATTGTTTTTTCCTTGGTAAAAGTGTTTTTGCTAATGTAATTTTGTTTTATAAAATGTACATTTGTCTAAAGCTTTGTTAAAGTGTTTCACACTTTGTAATTGTCCATTGCACTTCTCAGCCACCGTACATCCACTGATACATTGCGATGTTAACAACCTCATGATAACCTCATATGTTTTTAACTTAGGATCATACCTGTGTTTAGTCTAGAAAAAGGTAAATGTGTGCATTTTATTATAAAGTTGTGTATATTTACAGACCGTTGCAAAAACTAAGAAGCTTATAAACATCAGGTTTTAAAACTAAAAGAGCTTTGAAACACAATGAAAGATGTTTGGAGTTTTATTTGAGTTATTCATTTAAACTTTTTGTCTAAGAGATGCTGATTTGAAACCGTTGTTACATACAGTTACGGCAATTTCCTGTTTCTGCCGGAGAGAGGGAAGGCCGTCCCAAAGCTTGCTGCTGTATTTACTCTCTCCATCTGACAGGAGGGAGCCTCGTTGAGTGCGAGTGTGGCTACAGACGGAGTTTCACTCCTGTCACGGAGGGGTAGGTCGAGGGAAGTGGTTTGGGATTGGGCCGAAGTTCGTTGATGAGTCATGTAATAACAATGTTAGGGGAAGACAAACACCTCTCTCTGGAAAAAAGCGTTACCTGGAAACCACTCCCACTTGGTATATTATTAGTCTCATGCGGCAGTCTCAGAGGCAGTGAGAGGTGAAATGGCGCAGCAAGGACATCAACTCGGTCGGGACAAACTGTGCTGTTTTATCTGCAAGGATCTGATTAAGAATCCGGTGACTCTTCCCTGTGGACACAGCTACTGTATGAGCTGTATTAATAGACGTTGGGATGGAGAGAAGCAGAAGAAAAAATACAGCTGTCCTCATTGCAGACAGACCTTCAAACCAAGGCCTGCCCTGGTTATAAGCACCGAGTTGGCAGAGTTAGTGGAGGAACTAAAGAAGAAGAAGAAGAAGAAGAAGAAGAAAAATAAGAAGAAGAAGACAGAACCCCAGGCTGGTCCATCTGATCACTTTGATGCTGGACCTGGAGATGTGGGATGTAGTCCTACAGGGAGAAAGAGGAAGACGTCCTCTCTGCAGCCTCACGATGAAGATCCATTAAAGAAAACCAAGCTAATTGAAGCTTTGAATGTTCAGGAGAACATGTGCTCTCAACATGATAAGGTAATGGAAATCTTCTGCTGCACCGATCAGAAGTGTATCTGCATTCTCTGCCTCAATGATGAACATAAACAACACTACATAGTTTCAGCTGCAGCAGAATTCACAGAGAAGAAGAAAAAGCTTGGGGTGAGTCGTCAAAATATCCAGCAGAGAATCCAGAACGAAGAGAAAATTGTGAAGCAGTTTCAGCAAGAGGTGGATGCCATCAATCTCTCTGCTGATAAAGCAGTGAGGGAAAGCGAGTTGACTTGTACTGAGTTAGTCAAACTCATTGAGAAAAGAAGCTCTGATGTGACGCAGAAGATTAAATCCCAGCAGGAATATGAAGTGAGTCGGGTCAAAGAGATTCAGGAGACGCTGCAGAAGGACATCAGTGATCTGAGGAGCAAAGACACTGAGCTGGAGAAAACTCTCCAAAACAGATGATCAGATCAAGTTTCTACAGGCCTACCCCTCACTGTCAAATCTCAGGGACCCTGAAAAAACATTCAGGGTCAACAAGGATCCTGTACGATACTTTGATGATGTGACAGCAGCTGTGTCAGAGGCCAGAGGTAAAGTACTGGAGAGTTTTATTAAGGAATTGAGGAAGATCTCAGAGACAGTGACTGAAGTGTATGTTAAATTGTTGCCAGACCCAAAGACCAAAGCTGAGTTCTCACAATATGCAGCCCCCGAATATCTTCTCAAACTGGATCCAAACACAGCGAGCATGCAGATACAATTATCTGAAGATAACAGGAAGGCAACCTCAGTGAAAGAGCCACAGTCATATGATGACCACAAAGAGAGATTCATGGGAAAGTCTCAGGTTCTCTGTGGAGAACGTCTGACTAATCGTTGTTACTGGGAAGTGGAGTGGAGTGGTTTAGGAGGTTCAGTAGCAGTCACATACAGAGATGTTCTCAGAACAGGAGAGGAAAGTGCATTCGGGGACAATGACACATCTTGGGCACTAGAGTTTAGTACAAAGTATTGTAATTTCAAACACAACGGTGAAAAAGAGTCAGTTTTTGTCCCTCAATCCTCAAGGATTGGTGTTTTCTTGGATCAAAAGGCAGGTGTTCTGTCCTTCCACAGCGTCTCTGAAACCATCACCCTCCTCCACAGAGTGCAGACCACATTCACTCAGCCGCTCTATGCTGGACTCGGTGTTTATTGGTATGGAGCTTCTGCTACATTTTGTGACATCAAGGTCGAACAACTGTCAAGTGAGGTCAGTGAAAACTAAATGGACATTATTTTTGTGAGATCTGCTGAGATGTGTGATCTCACATAGAGTTGTTCATATCATTGTGTCTCCCAGAAGACAATAAGCAGAATATCTTTTGTAAACTTGTGTTAGATTTTTTTACAGCAGCAGCAGCCTGGTCCTCGTCCTGCAGCCCAGCAGCAGCCTGGTCCTCGTCCTGCAGCCCAGCAGCAGCCTGGTCCACGTCCTGCAGCCCAGCAGCAGCCTGGTCCTGGTCCTGCAGCCCAGCAGCAGCCTGGTCCACGTCCTGCAGCCCAGCAGCAGCCTGGTCCTCGTCCTGCAGCCCAGCAGCAGCCTGGTCCACGTCCTGCAGCCCAGCAGCAGCCTGGTCCACGTCCTGCAGCCCAGCAGCAGCCTGGTCCTGGTCCTGCAGCCCAGCAGCAGCCTGGTCCTGGTCCTGCAGCCCAGCAGCAGCCTGGTCCTGGTCCTCGTCCTGCAGCCCAGCAGCAGCCTGGTCCTGGTCCTCGTCCTTCAGCCCAGCAGCAGCCTGGTCCTCGTCCATCAGCCCAGCAGCAGCCTGGTCCTGGTCCTCGTCCTGCAGCCAAGCAGCAGCCTGGTCCTCGTCCTGCAGCCCAGCAGCAGCCTGGTCCTGGTCCTCGTCCTTCAGCTCAGCAGCAGCCTGGTCCTCGTCCATCAGCCCAGCAGCAGCCTGATCGTTGTCCTGCCAGCAAGGATCTCCCTCTCCCTGATGATCAACAGCCTTCAACTCCTGAAGATGACTCTCCATCCCTGTCAGGTGAGGGTAAATTAACCATTGACAGTGATGTAGAGAGTGAGAACAGTTCTGAGAGTGAGAGCGAAAGCCCAAGCTCTGATTCCAGCCCTCTCAGCCTTGGATTTAACTCGGGGTCCTTTTCACCAACTCCGCAATATCCAGACCCCCCGAGTGAAGCTCAGGGGGAAGCCCCATTTGAGGTCTCAACAAAAAAGAGACCTGCAAGCAGAAACTTGAACCAAAATGAAAAACGGGCAAATGTAAATACATCAACATAGTTCATTTTCAAAACCAATATGAGCTTCTTAAATGTAGCTACCTGGAATGCACGTGGTATTCAGTCCAAAGACTTTCGAGATAGGAAAATTAAATATTTACTAGAACACTAATTATGACATTCTGTTTACGCTGGAACTTAGGCTGAGTACCACCAGTGATGTTGACAATGTGTGTAAACTGTGGTGTAAAGGTACATGTATGATATCGATTGGAGAGAATAGAGCTGACGGAGTCTGCATTTTCTTCAAAGAAAAATATATAACTATTATTAGAAGAAGGGACATAATCCCAGGAAGGTTGCTCATGGTGGATTGTTTTTATTTGCCCCTGAGGCACAAAAAAGCTACAATTATTCAGAAGACTAAGAGAACTTTTAACAGTAGGTTATACAAATATATTAGGTGGGGATTTTAACACAGTATCAGAATAAATAGATAAGTGTAGTACAGCTGTTTTTAAACGGAGGCCCGGAAGTAAAGCTGTTAAAAGAAATCTGCGACGATGCAAACCTAATCGATGTCTGTCGATCACTGAATCCCGTTGGTATGGATTTCACGAGATATGACGGGTGGCGCAGTGGTCTGTGCATCCGATCATCAGATCAAGGGGGAGTGCTGGGGAACTCCAGTTCGAAACCCGCTCCTGCCGCCACTGCGTCAGGCCGTTGTGTCCTTGTGCAAGACACTTCACCTGAACTTGCTCCTGTGGGTATTGTCCACAGTATCATATATGTGTAATGTGTGTATATGTAAAGTGCTTTGAGTCATTGAAAAAGCGCTATAATAAATGTAAGGAATTATTATTATGACAAAACAAGCAAACCCATATGACAAGAGTTATGTATCTAATCATTTCCCAGTAACCACTATAAAAAAAATCTTCAATAACTTTTCGGAGGATTCTTTTAGCCCAAACATCATTATTCTCCGGAGCCCTTCCACTAGAGGCTTCTGGACACTCAACACACAGTGCTAAAAGATACTTGTGTTTTAACAGAGCTAAAGCTGGAAATACCAAAAAAATAATACAATTGAGATGTTTAACAAACTCTGACATCAAATAATGAATAAAACATTGTATTTTATTTATTTAAATGTGGAGAATTAAATAAAGCAAAAAATACTAAATATGAATCATTAATCAAACAATATATTAATTTAAAGCAGATTAAAGTTAAATCTAGAACGGTAGAAGAAAATATGTCTAAATAAAAAACTGAAATGGATCAATTGAACAAGGAATTATTATATAATATTCATACACAATCTGAAATAGATCAAAGAGGCAACTTGGCACAAGCCATTAAAACTAACCAAAAGCAAATTCAAAGTAAATTTATCAAATGTATAAAAAATCAAGAAGGTTGTATTGTGTATAATGAAAAACAGAAACGAGAAGTGATAAGAGATTTATGTTCTGAAGCATATACAAAAATAGACATTGAAACACTGTTACAGCCGCTGCTTTCCTGGTGCTATTAATTCTGTTGTGCGTGTGTGTGTGCATGCAAATGAGCTGTAAGGTTTCCTCGATGCCCCGCCCTAACCACTAACCACTTTAGAAGTGAGGTTTTGTTTTCCTTTTGTGTATTATTCTCTGACGTGTACTACCTAATTAACTCTCTTTTGGAGTTCTCTTTTTGTTGACTATTAGGCAACAGTATTTGGCCCTTTGTTTGTGCCAAGCTTATACCTTATTATTTTGTTTCCCAACTGATAGTTATAATAAAACCACTTATAACTTTTACCAATTCCACTCTGGTTTGTGTTGCTTCCCTTTGGTTCCCCTAGCCCAGTAGGGAACGTAATAAACACCAAGGTCGAACAACTGTCATGTGAGGTCAGTGAAAACTGGACATTATTTTGTGAGATCTGCTGCTGAGATGTGTGATCTCACAAAGAGTTGTTCATATCATTGTCTCCCAGAAAACAATGAACAGAATATCTTTTGTAACCTTTTGTTAGATTTTTTTTGTGCCTTTTTTTCAATATTTCTTTTGGGTAGGGACATAGGGGCTCAGATAAATAAAACATATATAAACAGTCTTTAACATATGGGATTTTAAGTAGTGCCTGTTAGTCACGTGAGCGACAACCTCTGACATACAGGATCTTGTTTATTATATCTTGAGATATTATTGTATCTTTTAATTTGTTAGTAAAATATTGTTGGTGCACGTTGTTTTTCACAACAGGTTGCACAAGTTGTGCTTTTGAAAAGGGAAAATCAGCCGTCTTAAAACAGGTGTCCCGAGTGTATAAAACATCTAGATGGGTGTGTGTGCTTTGTTAGATATTAATATTGTTGTTGTCATATTATCTCATATTTACCCTGCACTACAAGTCTTCTCATTGTAATCATTTCATATTTGATCATGTGTGTTGTATTGCTGTCAATCTGTAATGCAGATAAAATGTATTTGACTAATCATTAGTTAGAACATTGTCTTGATTGTGTTTTGAAATGTAATGTAAGGGAAGATGGAACATGAACTTTAAAACTAGATTTGCTGATTAGATGCTGTCGATAACTGTTAATCAGTCAATTGTTTTTAAAGAATGAATAAAGTTTTTTCTGATTTATTTGATGTCTCTGTTTCTAGGCTACACATTTAGTCGTCCAAAAATGTTAAATGTCGGCCCACGACATGAGTTAAATAAAGATTATATTTATACAGAGAAGGCAACAGATGATACACGGATCGTGTTAAAATCAATAGGCACGCAATGACTCTAAATAATAATGATCACGCCAACCAAACACACATTCAGACTAAAGGAACCAGCTGTTTGGAAAATTAAAGAAGTAGAAAGTACAGGTATTTGAGTTCAACATGTAAGAAGTAGAAAGTACAGGTATTTGTGTTCAACATGTAAGAAGTAGAGAGTACAGGTATTTGTGTTCAACATGTGAGAAGTAGAAAGTACAGGTATTTGTGTTCAACATGTAAGAAGTAGAAAGTACAGGTATTTGAGTTCAACATGTAAGAAGTAGAAAGTACAGGTATTTGAGTTCAACATGTAAGAAGTAGAAAGTACAGGTATTTGTGTTCAACATGTAAGAAGTAGAAAGTACAGGTATTTATGTTCAACATGTAAGAAGTAGAAAGTACAGGTATTTGAGTTCAACATGTAGAAGTAGAAAGTACAGGTATTTGAGTTCAACATGTAAGAAGTAGAAAGTACAGGTATTTGAGTTCAACATGTAAGAAGTAGAAAGTACAGGTATTTGTGTTCAACATGTAAGAAGTAGAAAGTACAGGTATTTGTTCAACATGTAAGAAGTAGAAAGTACAGGTATTTGTGTTCAACATGTGAGAAGTAGAAAGTACAGGTATTTGTGTTCAACATGTAAGAAGTAGAAAGTACAGGTATTTGTGTTCAACATGTAAGAAGTAGAAAGTACAGGTATTTGTGTTCAACATGTAAGAAGTAGAAAAGTACAGGTATTTGTGTTCAACATGTAAGAAGTAGAAAGTACAGGTATTGGGTTTCAACATGTAAGAAGTAGAAAGTACAGGTATTTGAGTTCAACATGTAAGAAGTAGAAAGTACAGGTATTTGTTCAACATGTAAGAAGTAGAAAGTACAGGTATTTGTTTCAACATGTAAGAAGTAGAAAGTACAGGTATTGTGTTCAACATGTAGAAGTAGAAAGTACAGGTATTTGTGTCACATGTAAGAAGTAGAAAGTACAGGTATTTGAGTTCAACATGTAGAAGTAGAAAGTACAGGTATTTGAGTTCAACATGTAAGAAGTAGAAAGTACAGGTATTTGTTTCAACATGTAAGAAGTAGAAAGTACAGGTATTTGTGTTCAACATGTAAGAAGTAGAAAGTACAGGTATTTGTTTCAACATGTAAGAAGTAGAAACAGGTATTTGAGTTCAACATGTAGAAGTAGAAAGTACAGGTATTTGTGTTCAACATGTAAGAAGTAGAAAGTACAGGTATTTGTGTTCAACATGTAAGAAGTAGAAAGTACAGGTATTTGTTCAACATGTAAGAAGTAGAAAGTACAGGTATTTGGTTCAACATGTAAGAAGTAGAAAGTACAGGTATTTGTGTTCAACATGTAAGAAGTAGAAAGTACAGGTATTTGTGTTCAACATGTGAGAAGTAGAAAGTACAGGTATTTGTGTTCAACATGTGAGTAGAAAGTACAGGTATTGTGTTCAACATGTAAGAAGTAGAAAGTACAGGTA